GGTGTACAGAAACGCCTAGAGAAAACAAAGGAAAGAACTTGCACAAGAGAAGCCGGAAGATGAAGCAGATGAAGGAAAACAGATGGCACATGTTCCAACAAGAAACAGAGACAGTAACCTGGGCATCTCACCACCCTTCAACAAGACCCATGCGTCTGGAAGGCACTTAGTATCTCATCCTTGGAGATCTGTGATAGTCTTCACCACAGTCCTCCTGCCCAATCGCCTTTATGCTCAAGTGACCTTGAGTACCTTTGTTTCTTTCAACTGACCGTGCTACTGTGCCCTTGTACACATACTGAGAAGAACCTAACCTATGTGGAAAACAGGGTCAGTGACTCAGTCAGTCAGTCAACAAACCTTTACTCATCACCCATAATGTGGCAAGCTCTGTACTCTCACCAGCAACCAAAGATGAGTAAGACCCCAGTCCCTCCCACAAGGACCTCAGAGTCTCAGAGGTCACCATGTTAGCTAGCAATTACAGTTCAAATGATGTGCCCTGTAAAAGAGGCACGTGCTTGAGACACTGCAGAGGAGCATTTAACTACCTTGGAAGTCAGAAAAGGCTTCACAAAGGAGTCACCTTTTTGACTTGACCAAAGAAGGATGAGGGAAAGGCACTTCGGTAGACAGACAAAACCAACAGCAGGTGCCAGGGATGTGCATATATTTGAATACAGACAACTCGTTGGCTAGGACTGGGCTACATGACAGAAGTGGTAAGTGAAGGGCTGAGGCAGGAGCCAGCCTGAAAAGAGACAAAAGAACAGTAGGGATAGATCTTCGATAGCCTGATGGTTTTGTTAAGAAGAGAAATTATCCTTTTTTAAGCTCCAATTATGCCGTGTCTCAAGCATTCTATTTTTCTATTTGATCCTCACAGAAAGCCATCGAGGTAAGAAATATTCTGATCATTCAACAGTTTTAAGACTGAGAAAACCGAGGCTCAGAGTAGTTTGGGAACTCGTCCTAGCCTAGATCACCACGAGCAGGGGCACAGCAGCAAAGACTCTTGGGTGTGACCCTACACTCCTTCCATTGAGTCACACTGCCACCATGGCTGGGCTGCGGTGGTTTAAGCAGGAGGATGGTACGAGATGATTTGCTCTTATGCAAGCGGCAGAGAGGGTGATCAGGGAGCAGCGCTGAGAATGGAGACAGAGAGACTAGTTAAAAAGATAATGCAAGAAAATCACGCAAGCATCCTTCAGCTCCTGAATTAAGGGGATGGCAGGTGCATGAGGAGGCTGCAAAGGGCAAATTGAGAATATATCCAATGCAGTGATGATAGTGATGAGCCACAGAGTCTAAGTTAGGCCAACAGGCAAATGAGGCCGTGACAGAAAATGAAAAGTTGGTCAGGTCAAAGGATGGGAAGGGACATTAATGGGATGTCGGGGTTGTTAATCTAGACCTCCTTTTCTTTTCTAGGCAAGATCAGTTCTCCACCTTCAACACAGCCCACTCACTACAGAGTTCTGTCTTCTTGGTAAAACCCAGTCTATGCTACTAACAGTCTTCTTTCGTCATTTTAAGCTGCCTAAGAGACCAACCTCCCAAATGTACCCTAAACCTCTGTTAACTTCAGCCACTGTCCTCTCTCAGACTCTCACTCCGTACAGCCCCAGAGCTGACCTCTTCTCTTCGGTGCTCTCTCAGTCTCATGATTGGTCTTCGCAAGGTCGTCTATAGCCTTGATCTCTTCTCAAGAATCTATTTCATCTTCGTGCATTAACCACAGCCCAGCAGATGCTGAAGACAGGGGTTCTCAGCCTTCTCATGTCTCTTCACCTTGGCCTCCAGCCCCGTCTCAGTCATCCACACTCATGGCCATGTCCAGAACCTGATTTTTTTTTTCTCTAACTCTCTCTCTAATCTCAGTATTAAGCATCACACACTTGCACTTCCTTGGGTCTCTTCCCTCCAACAAATCATCAAACCAACTTCTAACTCTGTGACCTAACTCACTTTCAAAGTGAAACTTTTCACTTTCTGCCATCCCTGAATGGTCTCAATTCCCTCAGTCCATCACTATAGTCACAGCTTTGTGTGTACTCTCACTTCCCTCGCTTCTTTTTCTTTCATCTTGTACACACACACACACACACAAACACACACTCTTCCCTGTTGAATTCAGCTCTCCACCCACTCCATGCCTGCCTGTACTTGAAGCGCCAAATGTGGCTGTTACAACTGACAGCTATGTGAACGGGTCCCCGTTATAACTGTCACCGTGGGTCTCATGTGGGCCCTCAGGGCTGCCCACCAATCCACAACATTTATCTAGTAGTTGAAACACCTAACCCCTACCCTTCTGAAACCATTTCCTACATTCTTTTCTCAACAATTTCTTTCCCTTCCTTTTCGTCAAGGACTCTCATTCTCATGACCTCAAGGAACTGGATCAATCAGACAAGGACGTTCGCATCCTCCCACCGCAGCTACATGTGACTGCATGGGGTCTGTCACCTGAATGCCTCCTGCTGTAAAGGATAGGATGTTTATGCTCTTAGGTAAGACCCACCTCTCCATGGACTACCAGCCTCTCCCGCTTACCAGGCTGTTCTTGTAACTGCCTCCTGTCTCTCCTCCATCATCATCTTCTCCCTCTCCTCTGAATCATTGCTACCAAATGCCAGGATTCAAATATCCTCCACCTTAAATACAAAATCTCCACCTCCCTTAACCTTCCACCACTCTCCAGCTATTGCCCATCTTTTTTCTTTACAGCAAAAACCCTTAAAGAATTGCCTTCTCCTCCTCTGATTCCTCCCTTTGCTTTCTCTCTTGAACCTTCTATACTCAGCCTTTTGTACATGTCGTGTCACTGAAGCCCCTCGTCTCTAGGTTGCTCATTACCTCCATGTTGCCAGATTGAAGGTCCATTCTCCGACTACTCAACAGCATCTAACACAGCTGTCTGCTCCTTCTTTTGAGAAACACTTGCTTCACACAGTCTTGTGATAGGACTTTGGTTCCTTCATACTGATCTGCGTGATCTCAGCCTCCTTTTAGCTCCTCCTCCTCTTCCCCATTTCTGGATATTGATCTGCCACTCAACTCAGCCCTAGAGCCATTTACAGGCTACATTCACTCCTCGAGTGATTTCCTCTCATCTTGCCCACAGTATTAAATACCAGCTACACATGTGTATATAGTGGTGTGCCGAATTTCTATCTCCAATCATGACCTTTCTATTGAAATCCTAGTGTTATATCCAGTTGCCTGTTAGATAGCTCCACTCGGATGTCTAAGAGGAATGTCACACTCAGGGTGTCTAAAATCAAACTCCTGATTTGTTTCTTTCAGATGGCACCTCTCCCAGCATTGTCCTTCTCAGTAAAAGAATCACTGTCATCTGGTTGTTCATGCCAAAAATCTTAGTGACTCTTGATTCCTTTCTTCTAATTTATTAGCTAATCCCAGAGGCTCTACCATCAAAACACATCCTGCCTCTGCCAACTTCTCACTACCTCTCGCAGCCAGAGTTGTCTGAGCGGGCCACCGTTCTTTCCTCCCTTGACCATGGATGACATCAGTCTCCACAATCCCGCTTTCTCTCCTCTTCCCTAAGCAGTGATGCCCTCATGATCTTAACATCCTTTACTGATCTCTGTCTCAGGCAGTCTACCACCGGGCGGGGAGGGGGAGGTTAGGGGGAGAGAAAAAATGTTCTCCGAAGGCTCATCTCCTCTTCACCCCTCTGCTGACTGCACTCCAGCTACCTGACACAGTGTTTCTGGACCACAACACGCACACTCCCACTCGCGGCAATCACACCTGCTCTCACTCAAGATACCCATGTGCCCCCCCCCCCATTCAGATCTCTGCTTAAATGGCATTTCTTCAAACAGGTCTTCCCAAAAGTGCCATGTCCCCATCACTCTCTTTCCTCTTCCCCGAATCCATTTCTTCGTATCATTGATCCCACCTAACATCATGTATTAGAATGTGAAGTTCATGAGGGCAGGGACTCTCTATGCTTTGTTCACTCTTAGGATTCTCAGGAGCCAGAGCAGAGCACGACACATAACAGGTGTTCAATAAATATCTACTGAATGAATAAATAAAGGAACAAAATTTCCTTCCAATTTTGGGTGTGATAAAAACAGCATATAATACAAGACTGACCACCACTCGCTACCTTGACTTTATATTTAGAATAAAATAATCCAGCATTTTCAAGTATTGTCATTGGTCTTCCTTTCCCTAAAACAATATGAACTTTGCTAGAAATGTCCTAGCTGTAAGTAGAGAAGATGGGATGACAGTTATGATTATTAATGTTATAGTAACCATTGATCATTTTCCAACATGCTTGAGATCATTATCACTCCTCCACTCAGAACTCTCTGCTTGTTTTTCGCTGCACTTTGACATGAGAATTCCGTATCATGGCCACATAATCTGGTTCTAGTCTACTTCTGAACCCCATCTAGTGCCAGTGTCTTCCTGTTCACTTTACTGCAGTCACAGCGATCTTCTGTGTTCTAAGGCACCTGCCCCAGGGCCTTAGTTCTCGCTCTCTGAATATCCTTCCTTCAGATCACTCGCATGTCAGCCTCAAAGCCTAAACCCTAAGTGACCTCCCTGGACCAATCTGGCTAATATTAGCTGCTCCCTTCTCTCACCCCAGGAAATCTGTACCTTATGACTCTCTTTTCTTTGTACCTTTATCTAAAATTACTTTGCTTTTAAACTTGTTTAATATCCTTATCCCTCACCGGAATGTAACCTCTGCAGAGTAAGGACCTTGTCTCTCCTTCACAACAGTCCGCTGGCCAGAGATTACCTCAGAGTAGAAGCTACATGTCTGTCTGCTGTACAGGGAAGACCTGGACCACCTTTCAGGGTTGGCTGTGCCTGTGTCAGGAAGCTGCTTTCCCACGTCCCTCAGTCAGGCCTGGCTGACCTGGAGCTGGCTAAGACTCCTGCTTCCCCTTTGGTTCCTCTCTGCCTGTCTGCCGTCCCTCCCCCAGCACTTCGCAGGCTGTTACCTTGATGGCCCCCGTGGCTATCTGGATATGGTGCAGCCGCCTCAGTGTGCTCTCTCTGTCGATGAAGTAGGAGGCTGCCAGCTGGTGCAGGGTCTCCAGGGACACGGCAGAACTGTTTCCACTGCCCCCAACGACAGGAGTGCTTCCTGCTGTTTCTGCCTTGCGGCTCAGTTTTCGCTTGTCCACAAAAATGGTCAGGGACTCTTCTCCTGTCGCAAACAACATGGGTTCACTGGTAAGGCCTTCTGCTCCCTAATCCCCTACCAGTTAGAACATGAAACCCTTGGCCAGAAGAGTCAGAGCTCAGGAGTCAGCTGCCCCCTGCTGAAGAGAGTTCTAGAACAGTCTCATCAGACAGTGCACAGGGTAGCGGGTGTCACTGCCCGAGGGGCCCTCTTCCCTTTCCCTCATTCTTTAACCATCCCAAAGCTCATCCCCTCCCCTCCAGCTTATCCATTTAACATCCTTTATTGATCTCAGTCTCAGGCAATCTACCTCCATGGGGGAGGTAAAATTTTCTCTCTCAAGTTGTTTATGAGAAGTCACCATGGATATTTCTGCTCCCTCAGAAAGGGCAAAAGCCTTGAAGTTCAACCTCCCTCCTCCCCATCAAACACTCAACACCTACCACATGCCAGCAGCTGGCCCAAACCCTTGGAGAGTTTCCTTTTGTCCACCAGACAGTGAGCTAAATGTTATAATAAATCCCGCTTTCTTCTTCCCAGGGCAGCGACAGCCCTGTCTCCTCAGAGCTTTGGATTCGGCCACAGGTTACACCATCCCCACTCCCAACTTCGTCCCCATCCAGCCCAGAGCCACTGGAATTGGTTTGGCCAGTTACCAATCTTTAGAGAGGCCAGCAGGGGTCAGGGACTCAATGGACATTTACTTCTTTGCCTATGGGTCCGACAACTATAGCCACAGCAAATACTAGGATGTGGAGAAGCCTCTGGGTTAGAAGGCGCTATCAAAAGAAAACTGGGAGCGCCCCCTGCTGGCAAGTGCTTAGTAGGCGCCTGGGAGTCCCCCCACCTCCTTACCCCACACCCCTTCCTCGAGGAGGATGCTTATAAGCAAATAGCAATGTTCTGGATGTCAGGATTTGGATGTGTATATATACTGTTCTCAAAGGCACCAGAAAGAAACTATTTCTCAGGCTATAACAGGCTGGGAAGAACAAAGACCCAGGAAGACCCAAGCTCTACTCCATGGGTTTTAAAGCTATATTCAATGATCTGACAGCCAGTTCGCGCAGGATCGCGATGTTGCTTACCTCCAAGGGTGGCAGAAAGTAAGAAATGAGTGCCGTACTTTTTAATCAGGTTTTCAGTGACCTGCTGTAGGTTGGGTCTCCTTCCAAGGAGGCGAATGTTCCGGATAAACTCTGGGGCGAGAGGCAATGGCAAACTGAAGAAGTCCTTCCTTTCCAGAGCCAAGTTGTTTACTTTCCAACGGGCAAACTCCCTGGAGAAAAAGTCACGGGATAAAGAAAAGCTCCACGTATGTAAGAACAAGAAGCATAAAATCTGAAGTAGAGAATGTTCTTTCTCCACTTCTACCACCGTCCCCTCCCCTCAGCACACATCCCTCCACACAGAGGCACCTGGTGCCTGGAAGAGGCCTGCTGGCCTCCACTCAGGCCCGTTCCCAGGCTGTGGGAAAGACCCATCTCGGCTGACTTCCATCACAACCTACTTCCATCTGGCTGTCTCACTGGAGAGCAGCTAATCAGCTCATCCGTATGAAGGTAGTCGTGTACCATAGTGTAGTAAGGGGGCAATACGCCAACAGTGAAAACATGAGAGCAGCGGTTTGCAGAGATGGGAACCAGTTCCAGTTGCCCCTCAGTGCATGAGTCCCATGAGCTCCCCATTTGTAAAGTCAGGAGTTTGGTCTACAACAATAGTCCTCAAACTTTTTGGTCTCGAGGCCCCTTCACACTCAAAAAATGACTGTGTCTCCCATATTTATGTGGCTTATAGCCATGGATGATTACCACTTTAAAAACTCAAACCTAGAAAATTTAAACATATTATTTTACTTAAAGATCACAGCAGTAAATCTGTTACATATAATGTAAATAGCATATTTTTATTACAATAACCGTATGTCCTGAAACAAAACCAGTTTAGCAAGAAGAGTGGTATTACTTTGCATTTTTGCAAGTCTCTAATATTTGGCTTAGCAGAAGAGAGCTGCATTCTCATATTTGCTTCTGCATTCAATCTGTTGTGATAATTGTGGATATTCTTCTTTGTGGCTATTTGTTGTTCACTCAACAAATGTCATTCCTTAAAGGTTAGTTACAGCCTGGAATCTGAAACCATTTCAGTGCACTTTTCATAACTCTGTTACATTAAAATCTGGTGTTCTACACTGTACTTTGAATGTGTCCTTTTACCCTTCAGGATTTTGGAACATCATTCACTGGTCATCTCAAAAATATGGGATCACTGAATTATTCAGATCTTCCACATTGTGAACTTTTCATTATATAATAGCAAAACACCATATTTGTTAATATCACCACAAATCTCATGAGTAAAGTTATTAAATACTGGAACTGCTACCAAGCTCATAATGACAGATATGAGTTTTCCAAAATTCTAATTTTCATTTGAAAGCTTGTATTTCATCATTGGCAACAAATAATATTAGTTGTTTTCCTTGAAGCGGTAAACCTACTTCATTCCTCACCCACCCCCTTTTTTTTTTTTTTTTGAGAAAATGTTTGCCAGGCACTAAAGTCTAAATAACAATAGTTTGTCTGATGGTTGTTCTTTCAAGAAAAATTCAGTTCCAATGAAAAAGCAGCTAGTTGAGCTCACAATTCAATCACAAAAGCATTTTTTCCTTGAGACAATCTTCCATAGCCTCCAATGTGCTTTAGGTGTATTTTTCCATTTCACCATGCAAAATATTAAAAAGACATGTACTCAAGGGTCAAGAGCCAATAAAATTAATAAACTTGACTGCTTCAAGGACATTTCTTATATGAATCTAACATGCATGTTTGTGTGCGCGCACGCGCGCGTGTGTGTGTGTTTAGGTGTGTGCGTGTGTGTGTGTGTGTGTGTTTAGGTGCAAGTATGTAATGATAAAAAAAAATACATGACTGGGGCACCTGGGTGGCTCAGTGGATTGAGCCTCTGCCTTCAGCTCAGGTCATGATCTCAGGGTCCTGGGATCGAGCCCTGCATCAGGCTCTCTGCTCAGCGCTGCTTCCCCCTCTCTCTCTGCCTGCGTCTCTGCCTGTTTGTGATCTCTCTCTGTCAAATAAATAAATAAAATATTTTTAAAAAATACATGACTACTCGTGTCCTTTGGTGAGACTGCCTTTATCCAAATTAAGATGATTTGTTTTCACAACATTGGCAGATGTCAACATGGACATCCTGAAAAGAGGACCCACCTTCTAAGAAGCCCTATTATACAAGATGCCAAAATTCCTTTCTAATCCCATCTACACTTTTAATCTTCTTGCTTTGCTCCTCACTGAAATGTCTGTATTTTAAAGGGGACACATTTCCAAGAGGAATCTGTCTTAGGATGAAATTTAAAGGATCACATCCACTAGTAAGAAAGGACTCTTCCATGGCCTTTCACATTATACTCGTAAGGACCAGCTCCACTGCATTAGGGAACAACAAAATGCAAAGTCTTATCAACCTTCTCACCCATCCCAACTCTGCTCTTTGTGACAGTGCTAAAGCTTGGTCTTTCTCCCCAAATCCACGGACTACAAATTATAGGGCTGCATAAAAATAAAAGAGTTCCAAAATAAGTGAATAAAAGTCCATGCCCAATTTAAGGCTATAGAATTCTCTCATCTAACTCTAGGAACTAAGACAGAGAGGAGGGGCATGTGCCAAATATTACCAGGGAAACAAAAGAAAAGACGACTAATAATTCAAGGTTCCAACAAAGTCTTTTAAGATTCCCATTGTGTGGCTTTATTTATCTAAGCAGGCAAGTTCATAATAATACATTATCATTTATTTCCATTGTACAGGAAATGTCAAACTTTAAAGTACAGGGTATCTGTTGAACTGTTTTCTATCCCAAATCCCACTGCAGCATACAGAACAATTGCTTGATCTCCTGTCTAAATTGACCAAGTGGCCAATCAAAAGACATGTGGTGGCTTAATAGACTTTTTTTTTAAAGACCCAACCACATGCTGCTTGCAAGAGACTCACTTCAGCAGTAAGGACACCTATACTGCAAGTGAAGGGATGAAAAAGATATTCCACGTAAATGGAAACGCAAAGAAATCTGGGGTAGCTATCAGTTAAAGTAGACTTTAAGCCAGACTGTAACAGGAGACAAAGAAGGGCATTCTATAATGACAAAGGGATCAATTCACCAAGAAGATACAACATTTGTAAATTATGCACCAAGATAGGAGCACCTAAACATATCAAGCAAATATTAACAGCTCTGAAAGGAGAAATGAACAGCAGCTCAACAACAGGAGGAGACTTCAATACCTCACTTTCAACAAGGGTGAGTCCATTCAGACAAGATCAACAAGGGAACATTGGCTTTAAACAACATATTAGACCAGGTGGACATAACAGATATTTGCAGAACATTCCATTCAACAGCCCCAGAAAACACATTCCTCTCTAGCACACATGGAACATTTTTTGGGGTAGATCACATGTTAGGTCAGAAAACAAATTTTAATAAATTTAAGAAGACTGAAATCATATCATGCACCTTTTTCATCCACAATTGTATGAAACTAGAAAATACGAGAAGTAAAGTGGAAAATTCACAAATACATGGAGATTAAACAACATGCTCCTGAACAACCAATAGGTCAAAGGAGAAATCAAAAACTATCTTGAGACAAATGGAAATGGAAATACAAATACCATGCAGCAAAAGTAGTTCTAAGTGGGATGTTTATAAAAATAAATGCCTACACGAAGAAAAAATGAAGTTCTTAAATAACCTAATTCATACCTCAAGGAACTAGAAAAAGAACAATGAATTAAGCCCAAAGTTAGTAGAAAGAAGAAAATAACAAAGATCAGAGTGGAAATGAATAGCATAGAGACTAAAACGATGACAGAAGAGATCAATGAAAATAAAAGTTGGTTTTTGGAAAAGATTTTTAAAATAGACAAATCATTAACTAGACTAACCAAGAAAAAAGGGAGGAGACCCAAGTAAATAAAATTGGTAACGAAAGAGGAGACATTACAGCTGATACCACCCAAATACAAAGGATCACAAGAGACTACAATGAACAATTACTGACCAAATAATTGGACAAACTATGAGAAATGGATAAATTCCTAGAAACATAACCTACCAAGAGTGAATCATGAATAAGTAGAAAATCTGAACAGACCAATTACTAGAAAGAAGATTGAGTCAGTAATAAAAAACCTCCTAACAAACAAAAGTGCAGGATCATCTGGCTTTCACTGGTGAATTCTACCAGACATTTAAAGAGTTCTTACCAATGTTTTCCAGCCTCTTCCAAAAAATAGAAGAGGAGGGGAAACATCCAAGGCCAGCATTACCTTGATACCAAAATCAGACAAAGACACTACAAGACAAGTAAATTATAGGCCAGTATCCCTGATAAATACACATGCAAAAATCCCCAACAAAATATTAGTAAACTGAATCTGACATTACACCAAGAGAATTATACAGCATAATCAAGCTGGACTTATTCCAAGAATGAAAGGATGGTTCAACATTTGCAAATCAATCTATGTGCTACTCCACACTAATAAAACTAAGTATAAAAACATACGATCATCTCAAAAGATGCAGGAAAAGCAATTGAGAAAATTCAACATCATTTGTGATAAAAACTCTCAATAAAAAATATAGAGAGGGTACATACCTCAACATAATATATATCCTATATGACAAGCCCACAACTAACATTATATTCAATGGTTAAAAGCTGAAAGCTTTTTCTCTAAGATTGGAATAAGACAAGGTGGCCCACTCCTGCCAATTTTATTCAACATAGTACTGGCAGTCCTAGCCAGAGCTATTAAGCAAGAAAAAAAAATTAAAAAACATCCAACTCGGGGCATCTGGGTGGCTCAGGGAGTTAGGCCTTTGCCTTCAGCTCGGGTCATGATATCGGGGTACTGGGATCGAGCCCTGCATTGGGCTCTCTGCTCAGCACGGAGCCTGCTTCTCCCCGCCCCCCCTTACTGCCTCTCTGCCTACTTGTGATTTCTGTCAAATGACTAAATAAAATTAAAAAAAAAATCCAACTCAGGAAGAAAGAAGTAAAATCATCAATTTGCAGATGATATGGTATTATATATAGAAAACCCTAAAGACTCCACAAAAAAAAAAAACCTATTAGAATAAAAGAATCCAGCAAAGTTGTAAGATACAAGATCAATATACAAAAGTTAGTTACATTTCTATAGAGTAATAACCAAAAAAACCACAGAAATTAAGGAAATAATCCCATTTAC